CTTACCTCTTTTCCTCGCTCAGAGTCTCCAAGGAAGAGGGTAACCCACACTGAATTCTTCTTTCTCCCCATGAGAGCACTTGGCAGAGTTTGTGTTGAACCGTGTTTTGTGAAGAGTGAGCTGTGCCAAGGAAATTGCAAGTCGTTGAGTAGCTGTCTTTCCTTTCTGGGGCCCCAAGGGCAAAGGTAGGTCAGTATGTGAGAAGGGGCCCCTGAAGGTGACGAGGGAAAGGGAAGGTGGCAGAAAAGTGTGTGTGTCAGTATGGATTGGGGGTGTTGGTCAATTCTCAGCCTCCACACAGAGAATGGCCGGCCATCTGCTCTTGAAAGATTTATTGTCCTGAGAAGGTGGGTAGGGAGCCGCAGCTGGGATGAGGAGGGCGGGGTGTGTGCAGCAAAGGCACCTGTGTCCCAGCCACTGTCACACTCCTGAACTGAACTCACCCATCCCAGGAGCCTGTGCCCCAGGGAGGGAGTGGTCACTGACTGGAGGCCTAAAGGGGCTAGAACAATGGTCACAAAGCCTTGGAATTGTCTCCTTCCTGCCACCAGGCTTGCTCATGGAGGGAGAGGGAAGAGCAGAGACAGGGACCTCCTTGTGGGGAAGAGAAGAATAATTGGGACCAATGTGCTGCTGCCCTCTCTGTTCATGGTTTAGATGGGAGACCAGCCGGAAAGTTAGGGCCCGGGCTCCAGGACTCCCTGGGAGAAGGAGCTGGCCATTCGCTGGGGTTAATGCTCTTTGACCCAGGAGCTCAAGAGAGGGTACATGGACTAGGCCAGGGTCACCTTCATGAAGCCATGGCTCTTTCTCTTGTCTGTTTATCCCAGAACTGGAGGGCTGAGGAATAGCAGAGGCAACGAGAACCCAGAGAGGGAGCTGAGGGCAGGCTGAGACATTTCGGTAATTCCTACAACCGGAAAACTTCAGTGACCGCAGGCTTCCATATCTTGTCACAGCCACGTCAGGTGGACTAGTGAGGAATTATCATCCTCGGCTGTCTGAGCCCAAGTTTCCTTCGCTAATCTCATGTGCAGGGACGGGGACTGAGGTTGGGTTTGCATGTGCACTCATCGCCTCCAAAGGGCCTTGATCCCCAGAGAACCCTGCCCCCAAGAATGAGAAACAAGGAAACCTCAGGTTTTCGGGAACCTGGGGTAGTCACTCGCAGGAGAAGCCCATGATGGTGATCCGGGGTTGGGCGTGGGCGGTCATGGTGCTGGGGAAGAGCTTTGGGCTGGCCCCCTCTGTTGACTGCAGGCTTGGTCAGGAAGTGGCAGGGAATATAGGAGGAAGGAGAGGAGAGACAGCTTTGTGGATAGAGAGTGGACCTTAGGGAACACCGAGCAGCAAGCACCCTCTCAGAATACCTGGCCCAGCAAAGGTATGAGCGGACACACACGCTGCCTTTGCCCAGCTGCAGCCTTGCACAAGCACCTGCTCCCTCAGGGCCAAGTGGCCCTAATTGCCACCTCCTCAGTCCCAGGGATGACAAAGAAGAGGGAGAAGTAGACAGAAGGTGTGTCCAGCCCTTCCCCAGGTGGCTCCTGCTTGGCTGCCATCCCAGGCAGGAAAAGGGGACCACACTTGCCCAAGCTCTCCCAGCAGTGTGGCACCAGTGATCTGGTCCAAACATGCCTTTCCCTGCACATTTCTCATCCTTTCCCATTAACCTTTAAGAAGTAAGTGGCACGGCTCAGAGAGGTAAATGACCCTTGGCCCCACATCAAGGTGTCTTCTCAGCTTCTCACTGAGCCATCTTAGTGGTGGCAAGGGGCCACCATTTGCCCTTCTTTGCCAACTCCATTTCTCTGCCCAGTCTTGGCTGAGTTCCACAGCCCTTCCTTCTCTGGGTCTCTCCTTCCTCCACTTCTCCATCTCCCTCAGCTCCAGGACCCAACGCCTTATCCTGTCTTTCTTCAGATATAGCACAGGGGGGAAAGGATGCTGGCCTCTGGCCTTCCCCAAGGCTGCCGGCAGAGCCACTTCTCAGGGGCAATGCGATCCTCCTCACCAGAACTCAGAACCTCATCAAGAACATTCTTTGCAAACCTCTGGGAGGGGATACCTTGTCCAACCTGGTGACACCTGTGGGAACTTCCCTGCTTCTAGCCTATGAGGCCTGCGGGAGCCAGAATGTTCTGCATTCTATTCTGAAGAGGGGAGAACGGTGACCCTCTGGGGTATCTGAAGAATTCCTGGGGCAGAGACAGCAGGATGTCTTTTGCTCTACTTCTGCTTCATCAAGCAGGAGGGCAGGACAAGAACACCTGCTCTTTGGTCTAACCCTTCACACGTGGCCCACTTACCATGTCTGGCCTGCAGTACAGATGTCTTCCCTTCTCACTTGGGCCTCTGAGACCAGGTGTGGAGTCTTGTAGATCTCAGTGCCACCCAGAGGGTGCCACACCGTAGCAGGTGCAGGGAGGTCTGTCCCAGAGCTCTGCTGCTGGGGCCTCCTCCCTTTTCCTCTCCCTCCTGATATTCCTCATGGTTCTTTGTCCTTCAGCTTTTCCTTCCTTCCGCAGCTCCCTTTCCCCTACTCATGTATAATTAAGCTGGAAAAATGTCCCACTAATTGCATTTGCGTTGGTTTTATCTTTTCCAAGTGTTTCTACTCATTGCTCATCTTTAATTATTACAACTCCACTCAAAGTCAGTTATTTTTTTAACACCTTTAAGAAGTAAGAAAGCCAGGCACAGTGGGGCAGACCTGTAATTCCAGTGACTCTGGAGGTTGAGGCAGGAGAGTTGCAAGATCAAAGCCAGCCTCAGCAACTTAGCGAAGCCCTAAGCAACTTAGCAAGACCTTTTTCAAAATAAAGAATAAAAAGGGGTGGGATATAGCTCAGTAACAAAGTGCCTCTGGGTTCAATCTCCAGTATGGGGGCGGGGGGAAAGTGAGGGTGGCCAGTGAGAACTTAAACTAAAAACAGGTCAATCATTCATAGATTCAGTTAATGAATATTTATTTCACAATACCAGGAATTATGCCAGGTCCTGGGAAAACAATAGAGAGTAGGATGGGCACCATCTTTGCCTTTGTGGTGTGCGTAGTTTACTAAGGAAAACAGATATTTAAACAAGTAAGTGGAATGGTGTAGGGTGCATAATATTAAAAAAAATTATTAGACAGGAAACAGCAGGTGGTCTCTAACTTAATCTAGGGGGACAGAGACTACCCCTCCTCTTCCAGATGGTACGTGCACACACGGGCACGCGGGCACACACACACATACACACACACCCCCCAAAGGTCTTATCTTTAAGTTGACACCAAAGGATGAGTAAAAAGTTACAAAGATGGAAGGGAGAATAGTACAGAGAGGTAGAAAGGTCCATAAATCACGAAGATGAGAGGAAGCAAACTTACTCTCCAGGAACTGAGAGGAATTTATCTTGGTGACACACAGCACAGGAAGAGAGAGAAGGCTGGAGAGGTTGCTAGGGGTCAGCACTTCCCAAAGACCATAGTGTAAGGCAGGAGCTGCCTCATACCAAGGTCATTCTGGCTGTACTGGGAGCTACAGACTGGGGAAGACCAAGGCTGCATGCAACCTGAGCCGTTGGGAATGTTCTCCTGTGATGTGGGAGGGAGATGATGGTGGCCCGTTTTACAAAGAAGCAGACAAAAAAAAAAAAAGAAAACTTTTAAATGTTATGTCAATACAGAATAGTCTCTAAAAATTCATTAAATGAGAAAAGTAAAAACTGTTTTTCTAATAGACTATCCCATGATATTATTTTTAAGGAAATATGTACACACCTGTGCTTGGGCACACTTAAAGTATTTTTGGAAAGATAAATAACAAACTTTTAATAGTGAGTAGCCCTGGGGGAAACAGCCAAGGGGCTGAGGCAGAGATAGTAAAGTTTACTTTTCTGTCTAATCAGAATGATTATTTCTCAAAGCAGATATTTTAAGGAATAGAATTTCCACAAGATGAGATGTGCTGGATATGAGAATTGAGACAGAAATGCTGAGGATGACGCCTAAGATACTGGTTTGGGCAACTTTGCCTATTGTGCTGCTGCCTATTTGGTTGAGAACACTGGTGGAGGAGCAGGTTTGGTGAGGAGGAAACGCTGTTCAGTTTGGGACATGTTGAGTTCAAGAGGTCTATAAAATATCCAAGTGGAGCGGTCCAATAGCTGGTGTCGAAGCTGTTCATGCCTGGAGCTCAGAAGACAGATCTGAACCAAAGATAGGCACTTGCAAGACATGAGCTTACATGTAGTAATCTATGGCAGGAGGTGGCACTGCCCAGGTGATAGAGGAAACAGAGTCTTGTGGACCAAAGACATTTAAGGAAATGAAGACAAGCAGCCAGAGAGGTAGGAACATGGGAAGTGGCAGATAGTCAACTGTAATCTGAATACTGCAGAGAGTTGAAGCAAAACCAAGATGGTTCCATGAGTTGGCCCCAGGAAGATAGCCCAGACCAGGGTAGAACCAGTAGCATGGAAAAGACCAGGTCAAAGCACAATGGGTTGAGGAATCAGTGGAAGACCAGCAGACAATGAGACAAATCTTAAGAAGTTTTTCCTTAAACAGGAAGTAGAAATCATAGGGAGCTGAAAGTAGTGTGGAGTGGAGAGAGTGTGCTTAAGAATGCAGCATGTTTATCTACTGATGAGCTAGTGGAGGAGAAGCTGGAGATACATAAATAGGAAGAGTGAAAGCAGACAGCGCTGGGCACAGGTGTCTGAAAATGCAGAGAGAACTGGATCTGGAGCACAGATGAGAGTCCAGTTTTCCGGAGGCTTGGAAGTACTTCCACTTGAAGGAGAACAGAGGAATCACCATGGCTCAGCACTTTGAAACACCATGCCCAGTAGGTCCCGTGTGTGTGAGAGTGTGTGTGAACTTTGGTGTGAGTCCTCACTGTTGGGGAGTGCAACTCGGCACTTATGTATCTGAATGAACCTGGCTATGGTTTCACAAATGCCACTTACCTCTTTACTATTCCAGACTGTAGTTCTTTTTAAAGTAGTAATGGTTTTTTTTTTTTTTTTTTTTTTTGTAGAAGCGATGACAGGACTGAGATGAGATGTAAGGGCTGGGGACAAGCGGGACATTATATACGAGCTCCTGTAATCTGGTCACCTGGTTCCAAATTTCCCTCCTGGCAGAGATGACAGCCTTTTATTCTTGCTGTTCAATTCACAACTCAGCACAGGGGCAAAGGGAAAAGGGTGTGGAGCCAGGCAGTTTCAGGATACAAAGCAGGAGCCTTTGCCTCCAGGCTCAAGGATGATTAGCTGCAAATGAGCCACCTGAAGGATAGAGCAGGGAGCCTCTGGCAGAAGCGATTGGGCCATTCAAACAGAGAAAGTCAACATTCACCACCCCTATGTGATTCTGCAACCTGTATACTCAGAAACATGAGAAATTATATCCCATCTGATTCAAATGTATGATATATCAAGATCACTGTACTGTCATGTGTAACTAGGTAAAACAAATTAAAGAAAAACAAACATACACACACCAGGAGAGAAATTAGATAAGGCAACTTAACAACAACCATAAAAACAAAAAAAAACCCATTTCGAAATGAGGCAAAGACATTGAATAGACATTTTCCCAATGATATACAAATGTCCCATAAATAAATACATGTCAATATGTTCAATATCCTTAGTACTTAGGGAAAGGCAAATTAAAAGTACAATGAGATACCATTTCACACTCATTAGGAGGAAATGTCAAATCTGAAGACCAAGGTGGAAAACAGTATGGCAGATTCTCAAAATAGTAAGCATAGAATTGTCATGTGACCTAACAATTCCATTTCTAGGTATATGCCCCAAAGAACTGAAAGCAGTGACTGGAACAGATATGTATACATTCATTTTCATAGCAGCATTATTTACAATAGCCAAAAGTAGAAATAACTGAATATTTATAGATAAATAAAGAGATAAAAAAAATTGTGGGATGTGTGTGTGTGTGCGTATACACAACAAAATATCATTCCACCTTAACAAGAAATGAAATTCTGATACCTGCTTCAGCATGGATGAACCTTGAGAATATTATGCTAACTGAAGATAGAGAGATACAGTAGGACTTAACTGCATGATTTCATTTATATGAGGTACTTAGAGTAGTCAAAGTCATGGACACCAAGTAAAACATCAATTATTAGAAACAGGGGTAGGAAATGGAAGGGAGTTGTTATTTAGTGGGCTTATCATCTATGATGATGATAAACTTCTGCAAAATGATGAAACTTTGTACAACGATGTGAATGTACTTCCTGCTACTGAAATGTACATCTAAAAAATAATTAAAAGAGTAAATTTTAGATTATATGTACTTAGCCACAGTAAGAGAAAATTTAGAGAAAGCAAGGATATGGAAGCTTTCTTCTTGTAGCTTCATAGCTGGGCTTTGGTTGCTAGGTGGGAGAGAGTCCAGCAGAGAGATTGGAAAAGAAGAAAGGCCACTGTTTTATGCCAAGCCTAGCTCTTCCCCTAAGAAGCTGTGTGGAGCTGGGCAGGCCGCACTGCTTGCTACTCTCTGAAGACTGCCTGGGGCAGAAGAGAGATGGTCCAGATATCAATCTGGCCTCCCTATCTCATGTCTCTAGTCCAACTTTGCTCAGAAAGATACCCGCCATTTTCAGGACTTGAGACTTCCAAGAACCCATAAGATACATGGGACAGTCGATGACCATCGCCCACCTGCATAGATGCTGACGTGATGGGTGAAATATGGTATGGCCCTTTAGAAACCGTTCCATCTACACCTTCTCGTGACTAACAGGCATGAAAGCTAGACGCTTGCATCAGCAGGCATCTCCTTCTCTGTCCCCACCCAGGCCCACCTGGAGTCAGGCCAAGAGTCAGGGAATCCTCATCAGAAATGGTAGACCTCCTCTCCATCCCCCTCACCAAGGTCCAGTCCAAGATTCAAGTGTGCCAGGGTGTTCCGACGAAGGATCTCCCAGCCCCGGTGGCTGTTGCTGCTCTGAGATGTGGTCCTGGACAGGGACGGAGTTTGAAGAACCAGAGAGGCTCTGGCTAGAGTTCCCACCTCGGTCACCGAGGGCTGTTTCTCAGACAGCTGCTCCTGCCCATCCTCCTTGTCTGAGCATTTGAAAGCTTCCACGTAACGGAGCACTCGCAAAGGATTCTGGTCGTGATGGTTCTCGACCCTGTGGAGAGAAAAGCAGAAAGGAGTCACCCGAGGTGGGAAGAGGCTGTGGGGGAGAAGGAGAGGGGAACGTGGAGGAGACGGGATCCACGTCAGGGGAAGAAAAGGAGGGGACCAGAGCTGGAGCAGGAAGAGCCTCGAGGATCAGGAGAGGGGAAGGGGACTGCAGTGCAATGGAGGAGTCGAGCCATCAGCCTTTAGAGGCCGTGGGACATGGGTGATGGCAATATAGAGGAATGTGGAGGAGAAAATGGGGTCAGTTAACAGACACAGGGTCACAGGGCTGAGGATATAGATAGAGTTCAGGAAACCCCCGGAGAGACGAGAGCCAGGTAAGGAGATAAGGGAAGAGCATGAAGGAGGAAGCAGCACTCAAGGCCAGGGTATATGGGAAATGCTGGTCAGGCAGGAGCAGACCATGAGCCGGGCAATCGCGCTCACATCCGAGCCTTTCACACACACAGCCTGCTGTTACCATCTGCATTCCTTAAGCCCCCGCCTGTACTCCATCTCCCTCCCCAAGACAGGCTAACACAGTCTCATGAAGTCCCCTGGTGGCCCTTGCTTCTCAGGCTGGTCACCCTCGTCACTCACCGCAAGAACCAGCGGTCCCCCAGGCCATACTCGCACCCGCAGATCCCTGAGCGAGGCCACAGGAAGCGAGGCATCTTTCTCTCCAGCATCACGGTGGTGGCCACCACCTGAAAGGAGGGGAGAGGCAGAGAAAGAACTCAGAAAGAGCTGTGAGGTTCAGAGGGACATCGAGGCCACCCACAAAGGGAATCAAAAGCAATGTGTGAAACCAGGACCCCAGAGATCTGCGGTAAGAGCTACCATTGTCTTCTTGGAGCCTGTGACAAGATCATGCCAGCCTGCTTTTCTCATAGGAAAAGGAGAAAGGATGTTCTTTGTTTGGAATAAAACAGTGACTCCAACATTATTATTCAGATTCAGGGAAAATGAGTCATTTCAAAGTAATCTCATTTTCTTTTTTCATTGGAAGGTCACAGTTTAAATAAAATGACTAAATAAAATCTCTCTGATCTCAGGGATGAACTGATGCTGCTCCAGTTCAAGGAATTTCAGCTACTTAAACATCCATACCTGAAGAGGGAAAAGGATTGATTAATGACTGCTCACTTGGCAGGGAAACTTCTAGTAGCATGTCCCAGGTTCTGTCCTTTGCCCAGCCCTCATTAACTACCTAGATGAAACAGAGGACAAGCTTATCAAATATGCCTGTGACACAAAACTGGGAGGGATACGTAATATGTGGGGTGACAAAAGCAATATAAAATGACCTCACCAAACCAGAATGCTGCTCTAAAACCAATAACATTGAATTAAAAAAAAAATGTGAGGTCCTACCTTTACACGTAAGGAACTTAGCTGAGTAAATCATGTGGAAAAAAATTCAGATTCTAGTAGATCATAAACTTAGAAAGAGGCAGTTACATATATGCTAAAAGATCTGACCTGATTTTAGGTGCTTTTGGTAATAGTATTATATCCAAAGTAAGAAAAGGCATTATCTCTCTCAGCACTGCTCCAATCATATCAGGGACTGGACAATTCTAATTTCAAAAGGACCGTGGTCTATTATCACAGGAACAGAGTGCAGTCACAATGGGTCAGGGCCAGGTAGCATTATTGATTGAAGGAGCTAGCAGTTCTTAATACAGCCAACTGTCCACGTCACCCTCTCCCATTCCCTGACTTTTTTATTACTCCACACTTCCCTTGGGTTCATAGTTGAGTCAATCTCAGGACTTCTAACCATTCTGTTCTCTTCTCTGGATAGGTCTTCTCTTCCGCAAAAAGGATACATATATGTAACTGTCTCTTTCTAAGTTTATGATCTACTAGAATCTGAATTTTTTTTCACATGATTTACTCAGCTATTATTCAGCCCCCCCTTTGTTTTCTGGTAACAGAACCCATCCTTCATTTAGAGAATGGATCCTTCACCTCTCTCAGCCCATTGGTTAGAATAAGCTGGATTACCAAGTCCCTGGAAATCATCTCCTCCATTATGGGGCTCGAGGTGAGGGCCCCTTACCTCCATCATCAAGGTCACCACCATCAAGGTCATAACTTTATGTTAAATTCAGAAATGGGTCTGTGAGACCCACACTTTTTGCAAGGATGTGAATCTTAGGCTGATTTTTCTGGGGTCAAAGATGCTCTTTCCAAGCCAACAGCACTATACGATGTTGACAGAACACAACAAGAACAGGTCTTATGATTATGCACTAAAGGAACCTGCTCTTTCCCTCAGAGCTTAGAACTTCTTTAAGTCATCAGGACAACAGGACAGGAGAACCTGACTTAGAAGAAAATCAGAACAAGAGAGAGCAGAACAAGGGACTGACAGAATATGTGAGATGGAGACTGGATTCTGACCAGCCACCCCCAAAGGATCAACATACCCTCCTCCTCCTACATAAAAACAAGTCTGTTTGAGTTTTGTTTTCTGTTCCTGTTGTCATGGGTCCTCACTGCTACAATCCCTGACCCCTATCCTCTCCACCATTGTTCTCAATGGATTCTTGCCCATCTTTAGGTCTCATCTTAAATGTCACTGCCTCAGGAAAGCATTCCCTGACTTTCCAGTCAGGTTCCTGGGTTGCCTCCTCTTCTGAGCACCTGGTATTCTCCATGGCACTTTTATTGCTGTAAGTTTGCAACCTTCTATGAAGTCATTTGCTTGATGTCTGTCTTTCCAACTAGACTGGCAGCCCCATGAGGTCACAGGTTACAGCGGTCGAGTTTGTGCATGTGTTCCAGCTCCTAGAAATTTCCCAGTAAAGAGCAGGCCTTAAAGGATTATCATGACCCAAATGAAAAGTTTGAGGAGTAAATTGGAAGATGACTCTATTCAAATAATTGACTAGTGGCATAAAAAAATGTATTCCCTATTGTATGAGGGGAAGAAGTTTAAGGCCAGAGAATGAAAATTATAAAAAGACAAGTTTCAGCTCAACGCAACATGGACATTTTTAATAATTTGGGAAAACTCCCCTCCTCCTACCCCCTATCCAAACATATAAGATAATAAAGGTCTTGATTAGCATTGAGAAGATGTTGAAGGACTCTGACCAATAAATAATTATGCTGAGTAGTAGGTGAGTACTTCTTAGAGGTCTCCTGAGGGTAACTTCCAACTCTACTACTTATTGTCTTATGGTGACACAAGAAAAGATCATGGAAAACAGGGATTCTAAGAGAACAAAAGGTCCAAATATAAAAACTAGAATATACTAGCACAGTTTCTGGTTCCCAGCAGATCCAAGAAGGACTCCTAGATCTACTTTTCACCCATGATCAACAGCCCCACCTCTTGCCTCTACCCTCCAGTTTATCCTGCTTCTGTCCCCTCTATCTATCCACATGTACCTCAGATTTACACATCACTGAGATGACAGCCTCACTGGGTTGTCCTGTGACTCTTCTGGGCACGGTCCACCATAACATCCCACTTTGATTTTTCTCTCCATCCCCTGTCCCTTAGCAAGAATCGCACTAATAAACTCACCTGGGCCCTCCAGAGCTCATCACGCTCCTGAGCCACTCTCCAGTGGGTGTCGCCCATCATGGCGATGAACAAGTTGAGCATGAGCAGTGTGGCGATGATGGCGAAGGCGGCGTAGGCGAGGTTGTACATGAAGGGCAGATCTACGTTGTAGTTGGCAGGGCCATCGATGATGGTAAGGAACAGCTCAAAGGTGCTGAACAGTGCCGTGGGGTAGTCAGAGAATTCCCCCAGGTTGGCTGGGTCCTCTGTCTGGAAAATGATACAGAACGCTGCTCCGCCCAGAAAGAATGGAATTATCACAATAAGCACGGGCCAAATTAGTATTCACTCTACCTCTGATACCTACATCTCCATATACATACACACGTCCACACAATCATGCATCCGCAAATGTGAAACTATGAAACTGGCCAACTCCAAGGGGCCCTATGACTAAGTTCACCATGCTGGGTGATGATAATACTCAGGCATTAAGAAAAAAAAATGTATGGGCATGTATGGCATAACATCAACTGTTTCTTAACTTTTAGAAAGCCAAACATTTACAAGATAAGTTGTTTAAAAGAATGCGTGGAATATGCAACAATTTTTAAAAATGGAGCACATAAAAAGGCTAAAAGAAGAGGACCTTTTATCTCGATGGGCTTTAGATAACTATCCATCACCCTGAGACTCCCTAGGTGAGCCTAGACGCTCATGGGAAGGCTATCGTTGCTTTCTGTGTGACCTGCTGGACGGTAATGGGCATCCTTGGACCTGATCTCAGCATTAGACCCTTTAAATGGCTTCTCCGTGTGGGAAATTGAAACATCAACAAGTTGGCTCCAAGAGCAGAAATAGGGTCCATGACCGAGAACATCTTCCTTATTTAATAAAAAAGTTAAGTACAATGGCCAAGAAGTGATCATTTAGGGAATGTGGGGTCTAGGACATTGTAGGAAGCAACTCTGTTACCCTTGCCCTGTTTTATAACCTGTGTATGAGTAGACGCAGGTGAGGAAGGGAGAAGGGGTATCGGAGGGTGCAGGGGAGTAGAACATTCTAGATAGACTGCCAGCTCTACCCTTTCATGCTTTATATCTTGGAGTGTTTTGGGTTTTTTTTGTTGTTGTTGTTTTTCTTTTTGTTTTTCCGTCTTTGTTTTTGTGGGAACCCCTATTGAACAGGGAAATTTCTGGGAATAGCAAAGAATCTGTGTAAGGAGTCATGATCTTTTAGAGTTGGTGGTCTTCAAAGCTCTTCTGATACACCCGCCTGTCTAATCAAGGACAGACTCAGAGTTCCTGGCCTTAGGATCTTCATCTTTTCAACACCAAGAACTCTCTTGTACTCCTTCCTGTTCCTTCTCCTACCCGCTGCTCTCCCTGCCATTTTTCCTTCCCTTGCTCTCTTTTCTCTCTCTCCCTGGCACCCTCCACTAAGCCTTGACTGAATCCCTGCTTGTCCCATATCTCTCAGTCTCTCTTCACCACTCTTCTTTTTCTGTTTTCTCTACCATGATTTAAAAGGCCCAGACTCTCTTGTATATCTCTTTGTTCTAATTCTTTCCTTTTATCTCAACTTTAAAGACCACCTAGAGAAAGAGAGCACACTGTCTTCTCCATGCTTTGTTTCTTCTTCTGAACTGTAAGGAAAGAAGAGTTAAACACTGCCTTGTTTCTCTTTGTCCACACAGTTTTCTGGGATCCACAACTGGCCAGTCTTTCCTGTTTAAGGTCCATCTCTCTCTCCAAAAGCCCTCTCCAGCTCAAGGTCTCACAGGGAAGTTAGTCAACACAAATGTGATTGGTCCAGGCCACATGAGTCCGCCTTCTTGGCCAGCCAAAGTGGTCCCGATCTCATGGACAACAAAATAGAGTACAGAAGAGAGCTGAGAGCGAGAGTGAGGGTGAGCTTTCTGAAGATCTGGATCCAATGATCCACTGGAAGAAGGAGTCACACACTCACCAGAGGCAAATCCCAGGATGACCATGGCCATCAGCCAACAGAAACGCATCAGGTCCCCAAAAATCATCTGCATGAAACAGAGAAGAGGAAGAAAGGTGGAATGATCCTTTCTCCACTGTATCTGGGCCATTATTACTACCCAGAGTTCCACCAGCTCCAGTCAGAGCAGAAGTTCCTTTTTTGCACCTGTCCCCAACCCTCAGTCTGAAAAAGTCCTCTAACTGAGCCAGAAGAAGGCTTCAGACAGCACTGACCTTCTGGATCATGATGGTGAAGGGACCCAGCATCTGGAACCCTCGAGCAAAGTACATGACACTGCACCAGCCCAGCACCAGGGCCAAGGATATGGGTACCACCTCTCCGTTCGTGTTGGTGAGCCGCATCACCATGGTCACCAGCACCAGGGAGGCATAGGTGATGCTGGAAGAAGAGCAGGAAACAGAGTGAGGGTGGGCTGGGAATATTCTATATCCCCACAGCATGGTGGTGACTTGGGTGCTACCCACACACTCAGGCTTAGTTTTAACACATAAAACACACCTACACACATAGATGTAAGTCCACTGGAGAGAAACACCTGAGTGAGGGTCACCTAAGGTCTATGTCCCAGAGAGTGCACTGGAGACCTGGAACAATTTTAAGTGTAGGCAGGGGCTAAAAGGAGGAGACACTCACATGATGACATGGAATGGCCCCCCGAGGATTGTCTGTCCAAAATAGCGAGAGGCACCAACTCTGAAAATGTCTGGGATCTGGGGGAGGCCAGTAAAACAAAGAGACAATGTAGACTGCAGTTCATCCTGGGGTCTCAGGTGCATGGCCTTAGCCTGGACCCCCCTGCACCTCACCTCTAGAAGCAGGATAATCACAGCCCCGATGACCGTCACCAGCTCCCCGACCAGCCGGATGTGATCCTGGTAAGTCACATAGGCCTCCTATGGAGGGAAATTCAGGACAAGGAATGCTTTCTGATGGGTGGAGAGTCAAATCCTTTCAAGTGAGTGGTCTAAAGATTCCAACGTTTATGCAGGATGAAGAAAAGCCATCCATCATCCCCCTGTCAGTCATCCCCAGTATAGTACCAATGTGGCTAAATTCAACCAGGACTGGAGTCTGTATGTCCAAGGTTTATTTAAAAAACTAAATGCTAATGGCTTGACCTATTATTGGATATCACCTCCTCTATATATGTTGTAAGCAGTACTTTATGATTTGTGTATGAGCAGCTGGGAACATATTTGAGATATACAAGTTAATAGGACTGAATTAATAAATAAGAAGCGATCTTTACATTTACATACTGTGGGTAGGATTGTAAATTACTAAAACCACAATGGAGATTCCTCAAAAGACTAGTTTTGAAAACACCAAATGACCCAGCTATACCACTCCTTGATATTTATCCTAAAGAATTAAAATCATCATACCATAATGATACATGCATACCCATGTTTATAGCAGCACAATTCACAATACCAAGTTATAGAACTAGTCTGTTTGTCAACAGATGAATGTGATATATATACATAATGAAGATTTATTCAGACATAAAGAAGAATGAAATCATGTCATTTTCAGGAAAATGGATAGAACTAGAGAACATCATGCTAAGTAAAATAAGTCAGACCAGAAATCTCTCATAAGTGGAAGCTAGAGAGAAAAGGGAAAAGAAAAGGGATTTCATAAAGATGGAAGGGAGATCTATAGAGCAGAGAGAGCAGAGGAGGGAGGGAATAGGAGAGGGAAGGGAAAGGTACAGGGCACTGATAAAGCAAATTTTTTTAAAAAGAGAGATCTTAGTGGCTTGGGATTGTTTTGACTATGGGAGAAGTCCAGCTTTTCCAATCTCATTATGGCTGGCACTGGGTAGAATACACTGTAAGCCTACCTCAGAATGCAGGTTCTAGTATGGGCCCAGAAACTACCATTTCCTATGTGACCTTGAACAAGTCATTGAAGATCTCTGAGCCTGAGGAGTCCTCAACCAGAAGATGGAGATTCTACTACTTACCTTGAAGAGTTATTGTGAAGATCACACTATATGATATATTTGGATGAACTTCACAAACCATAAAGGACCACTGATACATTCATCATGGTTTTATTATTATTTGGCAACACATAATTGTGGTAGAAATTGGGCTAGAAATGCTGTATGGATTTTAGTTCTTAGGAAGGGTCCCTGCCTATCCTGAGCAGAAGATGTAGAAGGCATAGTCCTGGGGTCAGGGTGGAGTGAAGACCATCCTACTTCAATGCATGTTACCTCTAGTGGAAGTTCTGCAACATCGTACAGAAGCAGGGATTAAATCTCACATTAAACATCCTTAACATGTTTAAAGCCATGACCCCACCTAAGTATATAAAAAGGACTATGGACCCTCTTTCAGAGAAATACATTCAGGTGCAGACAATTATGCAATGAATTCCAAAACATTAAGGCAACTTTTTGGCCATAAAAGGGTTCACTGTTTTTGTTCATTGGCTTGTTTTGTCCTCAGTCCTAGCAACTGTCTTTGAACTCCCTCTCCTCGCTCTTAAAATTCAGTTCATGGACTTTAATATTTTGTTTTATCTTAATGTTTCTACAGCATGTCTTTTTATTGTAAAACATGTCAACTCCTTTTCAGACTTGTGGCAGGAGAAAAATAATAAATATATTAACTTTAGAAACTACATTAAATATAGAAATAAGCCAAGCATGCTGGTGCCCCTGTGATCCCAGCTACTCAGGAGGCTGAAGCAGGAGGATCACAAGTTCTAGGCCAGCCTGAGCAATTTAACAAGACTGTCTCAAAGTAAAATGAAAGGGGCTGGGAATGTTGCTCACAGGAAGTCCTGGGTTCCGTCCCCCAAACTGCAAAAACAAAAAACAAAAACCCTGTATTATTTTATATGTGTTTGCACAACAACGTTGAATTTCTTTTAAAATGTTGTGTCTTTGTTGAGTATGTCAGGGTAAACGCCTGTTTTTGTATCTTGTCACAACTAAGAGAAGGAACTGTGCTCAGGTTCACCTGAAGAGCTGTGAAGATCAGAGCACCCCTAGCGGCCCGAAAAGGAATGGCACCAGCTATGATAATCTCAGGAGATGAAAACCATGAAACCTCAACCAACAGAGAACATTGGGGACAGTGCAGGTCCTGCTGGGGCTTCCCCTCGCCAGCTTCTCTTTGCTTATTTCACAGATTCCTTCACACGGAGGCGTTTCCTGGCACAAATTCAACAGTGAGGAGGCCAAGGAACAGAAACTGCTCGCTTTGCCCAGCCCCACCTGGGATCCACAGCCCTGGAGTGGCTGCCTGCACCATCTGTCCCCAGGGCCCTAGGCCGCAGGTGCCAGGTCAGCTGAGAACCCCCTTCCTTGCTCATCTTCTGGACCAGTACACAGACTTTTATATAGGGTCCTGTTTGCTTATTTTTTTTTTTTTAACTGTTCTCTTTGGGCAAGGAAAAAAAAAAACTTGGTATGTGTGTGAAAGTTGCCATAAAAATAAGAGTATTGGACTTTTAAAACATTTGAATTTTGTTTTGATTTTTAAGGGGAACTCTAGAGTTTCATTTGATATATGTTGTTGGTTCATGGTTTAGAATAAGTACTCTTTGTAGTTGTTAAGAATATTTTAGCGTTTCAAAAATAGAAAGGAGCATCGAATTTCAATGATGGATTTTTTGATGTTGCTTGAAACAATAATAAGGATTCATATTTAAGAAACCACCTGGTCCCCCTAGAATTAAGCCCTAAACTCAAACAAATAATGACTTCCTTTCAGTTTCTAGAATTTTATTCTTTGGGGATTGTATTCAGGATTTTCTAAGATGAAAGGCTAATTAATCCGTAGCTTTCTAGATTTTTAGTCCTCATACCCAGGTTTTGGGATCAAGTTCAAGGTTATGTTTAGCAAAGTAAATTATCAGGAACACTCATCCCCAAGTACCGATTCAGTCTCCCAACTTTTCTTGCTTCATGTTCTCTGAATTAACAGAACCAACCCTTTAGTCAATCCCATGGCACCTATCATCTTGTTTATCTGCATCCACTTTCCCCATCAAGCTTCTGGAATGATCTTTCTAAACACAAAAGTCATGAATATTATCATATGGCTTCTCTATTTAATGCCTTTTTTTGCTACCCAAAGCCTTCAAAATAAAAGGGTAGGCAAGAGAGCAGTGTTCCTTACTTTCATATGACAGTGGAAATTTTGATAGTGTCTGAATTTGATTGATAAATGGATAAAGATGCAGATTATTTCAATGACATGGAGATAAGGACAAGAATGGAGAGCTGCAGCAAGTAAAGCCTGGTCGTGCCCAGGAATGAAAGGTGGTGGGGAGAAGGACCAGTGCAGGACACAGTTGCTTTTCATCAAATATGTCACTTGATCTTAAACCACATGTATGTACTCTTTTAATTAGAAATGTTGATTGTGAGATAAACCCCAGATTATCAAGCATGATGTACAAAGCCCTCACTGCTTTGATCCCCATGCTCTGAGCTACTGGGGACTTGGTGGTTGAGTCAAGCCTTCCATCAAGGATGGGCCCTTTCTATAGAACACCTTCTGCCCCCTGTTAGCCTGTCTCACCCTTCCTGATCTCCAGGACTAAGGTGAGCCCAGCATTCCTCTTGGCTCTCATTTCCTGCCCCTCTGTGTCCAGATCAGGTGCTCTCTCGCAGACACCTGGTGCTGCTCTGTGTTCACGGCCCTTACCCCAGCACATTGGAAGGTGTCTGGGTACCCCTTGTCTCTCCAGGGAGCAGGGGTGTCTCCTGCTTTTTACCACAATGCCCACCACGATGGCAGGTATTGATTTAGTAAGAAAAGAAAGAAGGAAGGTGAGAAAGGAGAGGGGAAATGGAGCCAACCGGGCTGCGGCAGATTCAAGCTGAGCATTACCTAAAGGGAGACAAAGAAGGAATGGAGAAGTGGAAATAGGGACACCCAACTGGGAATGAAAGGAGAAAAAGATGACAATTGGGCTTTTCTGAGATTTCCAAAGTCCTCAGGCTCAAAGTCCCTTAGGCAAGCCTGACTAATAATGCACTAAGAAAACACTCCACACCACTCCTTTAAAAATAAATATCTTCCAACAATGTCTGGAATTTTTTCACATCGCTACATGTCTTAGAATTTTAGGGGTTGTCAACAACCAAATCCCCTGCAGAGTTTGGCCCTTCCTACTTCACTGAGAAACTGCCCCAACGAGATTGCTCTTGCTTGGCAGATGCCTGAGCTCTTTGCCTTCAAGGAAATGCCCAGAGGCAAGCAGGCAGAACAGAGCCTGGGGCTCCACTGAGTTGAAAGAGCTGGGTGTGTGTCCTGCAGGAAAGTGCAGCAGCGAGCATCCCCTGCCCCAATAGAAAGTGGGAGGGCACCAGAACCACTCGTCAACCCCAATCTAGACCTTACTTTGTCTCTCCCAAATCCCAGACTTGTAAATAAATGAAGCAGGGCCTTGCAAGCTCTCAATGAAAGTTACTCTGATTCTCTAAATGGGGCAGGTCTCCCAAATACAGCTCCCCATTAGAACTAAATGGCAAGTCTTTGTCACAACATACACACAAAGGCCAAGCCTGGATCCATAGTTTGGACCAATATGTTGTTGTTTGTTTTTCTAAAAAGAAAAATCTTGGTAGATTTTTAATATGTATTCTACTCTGTATTCCAAGGTGAGAATTTCTGGGCCTGGGCCATAAGAGAGGAAAATGTGGTTCCCATGAAAGGCCACCTTCAAAGACACTCTGCATTTTCTCAGGAAGATGGATCTTGGAAAATTTTACTCTCTTCCGAGAAGCCACATGTAACTGTGGCTGCTCCTTTGCCATTGTCCTTTGCCAGGTTACATATCCTCGCTTTGCCCTTGCAAGTCTTTTAATTTTCTCCCTTTGCCTGGCATTCTAGGTTCTAAAGAGGTCACAGCTACATGAGAGAAC